AAAGTCTCACTATGTTAACACTGGAAGTTTAATGTAAATCATCCTCAGTGCAGACTGTAAATATACACAGGGATGGAGTAAGAGGATGCACTGAAGTTAAGCACCAAATATGTGAAAAATGCAATTGATGTGATTAGAAAAACGCTGGAGCGAGGACTTGGCACATTGGACTGGGGGCACAGGACCATTGGTCTCCTTCTCTGGCACTGCTTAAGGGGGTTTCTGGCTTTGCACTGTATTACATGAGCTTGGTATCTTGGAGTCTTGAGCTCCAAGACACTGACTATGCACATCTGAGAGATGGCAGCAGGCTAGCTTTGGCTTCCATGTTGGCTTGAAACACTTCCCAGGCTGTGCTGTTTCAGATAAGACCTCACTGCTGAAGCAGATCTGCATCCCAGAGTCAATCTGTTTTTTCCTACTGCATCAGCTGTTCTGATAGGAGTTGCTTCCTCTCTGCAGAGTGTCTCTCTTTAAGAAAAGTGTGTTTGCTGGGTGTTAAATTGCAGGAGTTTGCTGTCCTGTCGTGTAGCTGTGACAAGGCACTGGGGTAAACCACTGAATATCGATAGTCAGAGTGTGTGATGAGTTACATCACTGTGCTGGGAACAAGAAAACTCAGTGGAGATAATATTGAAGTTACGTTCTTTCTTATGTTTCACAGCACACTTTTGACAGCACTGCCAGTGTTCGTACGTACATCTTCTGACTGAGCTTTTCTCCTTGGCTGCTCTTCCCTAGGGCATCTGGGAGTGTAATGCCCTGTCAAGAAAGTATGTGTACTGTAAGAGTGAGGATGGCTTCTTTTGGGACCAGCACGCTTCTGGTTCAGCCCTGGAGGAAGAAAAGAGCAGCTACGATTACATCTGGATTTGGCGATCAACAGACCCCCAACATTGCATGTGAGCTCTTACCACCTGAACCAGCTTGCCCTATGTTGCCCTATGACAGCATTAAAAAGGAAGGTGGGCACTGCTCCCAACAGTCAATTTATCCCTTAATGATGGAATGTATTGCTGGTGAGGTCCAAAAATCTGAATTATAGTCATTCTTTATTGTAACTTGAGTTGTATACTCAAAAGGTTAGTCTGGTGTTTGATGGCTGGCTACCTTATCTTTTAATTAAATGCCCATCAACCCTCTTTGATCTGAGGAACAAGAGCTCATAAGATGCAGAGTCACTGCTCTGCCCCTGTAATTCTCAGTAATCCAGGTTGTCTCATCATGCAGCTTAGAGGCAATTTAAATTGAGGCTGTGGGTTGCTGTTGGGCTCCTGTCTCTGCTAAACTTGTTGATTTGCATTCTGAGAGGATCTTCCGGGAGATAATGGGATTTGTGAGGAAAGTTGATTTTGCCTTGTTATCCTCTGAACAAGAGGCAGTGCAGGATGGTAATTACTCAGCCAGGTGGAAGATAGCAGGGAAAAGGGGAGGCACACCTGCTTAGCCTAACTAGCCCCGGACTGTTCCCCATTATAGAAATGCAGTCATAGAGTTCATTTAACCAATTCCCTGAGGCTAAGAAATGGGAGAAAATAAACTCCCAGTCCTAGGCTGCAAAAATCAGAAGCATAATCACAGGAAATCATGAAAAGCTTTGACTTCCTGAGATAAAATTCAGATAGCTTTGTGTTCCTTTTGAGCGTGTTTGCTGAGGATTTTGGACTCCTAGATCTAAATGTAAAGCTTCTTGTGGCACCCTAAGAAGCAGGAATTTCATCTTTTCTTACAGTTACGGGTTTTTCTTGAGATCACCTCAACTGAAGAGCTCAAGAACCCTAAATAATACAAGGGTCATCATAAACTGTTTGCAAGAACCTATCACCCCAAGGCATCCTGTGGTCCCTGGTTTGGAGGCCCTGGGCCCTATATTAATGCACCTCTTGAACTCTTTGCTTTAAGCTTCCTCCAGATCTGACTCAGCGCTGTTTAATTGACATGTGTGTGTGCCTTCTGTGTGCATCTAAGTGGGATGTTACTGGAAGCTCATGTACCCTGAAGGAGCCTTTGAGGACCAAGCAAAGATGCAGAAAGGAGGAATGGAATACCAAGAGTACATGGAGTGAGAGTGCAAGGAAGAGAGGAGAAAGAAAGAACCAGAGGGGTCTTGGGCAATGGGTAGCAGGGCCCAGGAGCTCCCAGCAGCCATGGTCTCTGCCCAGTCTATCCCTCCTTTCCCCTCCTCTTAGATGTTTCCACCCCGGCACTATGCTGGTTACCCCTCCTCACTCCCTTGACTTTATTCAGGTATATCCTTGACTGTGCTTCTAGCGGTTCCTAGGAAAGGCCCTCCTTTTCTCCCCACCCTTTATACTTTCCCAGACTGAGAAACACTTCATAAAAATACATATGAGGCAGCAGAGCCCAAAGCAAACTTAGGCAGGGACTATTCATACACATAAACCCATGAACCTGCGTGCCATGCTGTTCTACAGAAACGTGGCTATTTTTTAAAGGGAGTTGTCTTATTTATTCATTCCTTATGATAACTTCTCTCACCATCAGAGCTTTTCAGCCCCTGCCCAGCAGGTCAAGCTCTCTCCTGGAGGAGTCTATCCAAGGTCCATTCAACAGGAGCAATTGAATGCCTACTGAATTTCAGCGTGTGTCTTTCAGTGTATATCACAGGTTAGTGTGCAGTGATGCTTCACACCTCCTCTGACTGCTGACTTAGAAGTCCATAGGGCTACAGGAATGCTTGTTTGATAAATGGACGATCTATTTATAAGGCTGACCCATCCATACAGCACCATAAAGCTTGTGTTGGTGATAACTACCATGGCTAACTTCTACTGCAGCATTATACACTTGTTTTGTGCTGTTGGTAACATTCCCTTAGCATTAAGCCTGAAGCGTTGCTTTTAAGAGTCAGGTTGAGTGTCTTGACCACAAAGTAAATTAACAATTTACCAAGTAAATTAACAATCGGCTTTGTTCATTCTGAAACCACCGAGGTTCCCTGCAGGTCTTCTGCTTTCATTTGTGTGCAGTGGCTGCTGGATCTTTCTCAGCCTCTCAGAGGTAAAATCTCATTCTCCTTGTCCTCAAGAACTTCCAGAGTTTCTCCTCTCGGTCAATAGGGCAGAACAACAGTTGTCACTTACATGAAGAACTGATACACATTATTCACAAAAGCATTTGCAAAGCATACCATACATCACAGTAAGTATAGCTTAAATGATAGTTAAAATGCTTCATCACATTGGTTAATCTTACAGTTAAATCATTCATAAGGGATACTATCACCAGGGGCTGTCAAAGATGAGCTCTTTCCTTTTTATTTTGAAACCCAGATTCCAAGCTCACTAATGTCTTATTTTCAAAGGTTATTTCAAACTTGAATAACTCCAAAGATAATTGTCCTTACTTCTCCATTAACAGGACCTTTATGCCCTTTTGTTCATGAGAGCAAACCACAGCACAACTCTCAGATGAGATCTTAATTGGCTTCTACCATACAAAATGTTCTCATGTATATTTTGTAGAAACTAACACACTTTTTGATTAGAAGTCAGAAAGGTCTCTCTGATTTCTGTTTGTAGTCTTTGGTCAGATACTAGTGGTAAAGATAAACTTTTTGATTTAGTCAACACTTCTAGCAAAAACATACTAATGCCCCTCGCAATGAGAAGTAATAAAAGCAAAAGTTCTCCTAAGACTTAAAACTTGTTGCTGGTCAAGAGAAACAACTAAATTGATGCTCTCCATGACCTTTCTCATCTTTTCATTTCAGAGCAGGGAAACCGGGCCTTGAAGAGCTTTATGACAGTGGGCTGTAAGTGTTCTTTGTGCTGTAGCTTTTCACTGTGAACTCAAATATTAAAAATTGTTTATGATTACTTCTGATATTAAATATTAGAGTGACAACTATAATCACTTAACTTCATCCCATAAACTTTTAAGGTATTCTCTATCAAACTCCAGTACAGATTTTGACCCGTCAATTAGCAACCGCAATGCAGCCAAATGAAAACTGTCCAGCACAAACAAAATCAATGCTATTGATTTCTAAGGGAAAGTTCACTTGAGGGATGGCTCACAAAGGCCTAAAAAACATGATTGCAGTACTAAACATTTCTATGATCAGGGCTCTTTTCTCAGCAACACACTGCATGATGTTTCTCTGATTTGAGCTGAATCGTATCAAGAATAATGGGTTTGACCGCCACCTGAAAGGTGCAGCTGTAAGAAATGATGTCCACCTGATCTTCATCCCCACACCCTCTAAAAGAAGGAACAAGTTAAAAAAGGCCAAATGAGTCCTGTTTGGGACTTCGAAAGCCCAAAGCTTCGGTGGATGTATTTTTGCATAGCGGATTTCCAAAAGAGAGAAAGAGGCGCTGAACCTGGAAAAGTTGAGGGCAGCTTAGAAAATGCTTTGGAGCCATGAGGTAAGTTTCAGTGGTCTGGTCCTTTTTTTTTTTCCTTAAAAAAACCTGGGCTTCATGTGGTTGTCACTGCAGTGGAGCCACCTGACCCATCAACTTCCCCTTAAATGAAATAACTTCCAAGGGTCTGAATTGTGACATATTATTCAGGTCAGAAGTACTGCTGCCTGCTCAATCACCAAAGCCTCTAATAGTGAGGAAAGATATTAAAACCCAAAGAAGACAGTAAATGTCAACACATTTTTTCCATGCAAGCAGGGTAATACCAGAGACTCCTGATGCACACAAGGGAAGGCTCTGTATTGCAAATGCACCTGCAAACACATGCACTTGGGCTAGGGAGACCTCAGGACAGGCTCTGAGAGATGAGAACCATCTCCTGCAGGGTCCTTTGTGGGTCATGCCCCCTTCCCCCCCAGTCTCTAAATTGCACTGTTTTGAGTATTTGGAGCTGGTAACCACAATTGGCCTTACAGATTTATAAAATACAGTTTTATAAAAGGACTGCTTTTTGGCATGAGTGTTACAACTACAATTCACTGTATAGGTTTTCTCAAATTCTTCCTTTTGTAAATGTTATGTCCACTAGCACAATTAAATGAGGTGTCAATAGCAGGAAAAACAAAGCCCCTTTGAGGATACTTGCCTTTATCCACAGGTGGCAGAAGGAACCTTATAAGTGTCAAAGACAACCCATTTAGACCTGACTTGGAGATGACCAAAGGAAGGCAGGATGAGTACCAACCAACCAATAAAAATGTTATACCACTGCCAGTCTCCCCCCCATCCTTATTTCTGGCACAGTTATTGCTGCAAAGGAGTTCTTCATGTCAGTAACCTGGCCCCAGGAACTGACAGGCACATCAGTTCTTCAGTGTACGATCAGCACTATCTAAGTGTTGACCCTATCTAAGGGATGGAGGTTTCTTTGTAGACTTTACTGGTCAAGGGTGGCTGATCATCTTCAGAGTTTGGCTTATCATTGCACACCATAAACACTTTATATTTTACTAAGGAAAAACTGTCAGTTGTAGATACTACTGATTTATAAGTGAGCCAACCTCAGAGGAGGAGGGTCTTACCTTTCTTTTTGGCAGCATCTTGATAAATGTCACGGAATTGAAAAGGTCATAAATCCTCAAACTCAGACCCTGCCTGAAAGGCCTGAGTGGAAAGGAATGCTCCTATTCTCAGTTCCTTGGGAGCCTGCTGGATATGAAATTCGCTATGAAAAAGAAGATAATAACATAACACCATTTGTATTTAAATGCATTTTGGAATGAAGCCCAGGAAATCCCCAAGCTCCCCTAGTCAAACACTTGTCCACTTTTTCACAGATTCTGTGCTCTGTGAAAACACTTGCATTTTTGTTGTTATCTTAGCGCCTTCTTTTCCTAATTAGGTCGGTACCATACAGCTTTCAGTCTGTCACGTTGTGAGATACAACTGAGATGGTGCATTACATGGCAAAGGCAGTTGCTGCAGCAGTCTGAGGTGCGTGATGGAATCCCTATAGAGGCTCTGCTTTGATTAGCATAGTGTCAGGTAATTCAGCTCTTCACGCATGACCACATCCCTAATGCAGACTAGCCCTTTGGTGGACATCTGTCATTAAATTCTCAATCCTTCTCTCCTGCTCTCTCTTACATTCTGCAATGGACAAAATCATTATAAATGGAGCGCAAGTATAGATAGTCTCTTATTGGTCTGCCTTTAAGGCTCAGAGCACTCAGGCTGTGCTGTGTTCCTTAATGTAAAAGGAAATGGGAAGGATGGGTCAAGCTCTCAACAAGACTTCCCATTCCTCAGTCCTCACAAAATAAGGATGAGATCACTTCTCCCCTATTATTCCCAGGGGGAACATGTTCAGTCAAATATGCAATTCCCTAAAAATGGGGAATCCCTGTTGGTTTGAGATGCAGTATTCCTCTTACATTGCCAGAGCAGCCTGGGTAGTGAGCACATAGCCGTACAAATTGCTGTGGCTTTTTGTTTGCCTTGTTTCTCATCATCACAGAAAGTGACTCTTCACTAGTTGACATTAGGTGAGGATTTCATCATTGAAACCTGATGCTTAAAGATACTGATGCTGTCTTTAATTTGTTACGAAAAGACTCTGCTGGCTTCTCCCCCACCTTGTTTTCTTTTGTTTCTGCATTTTTGGTCCTAAACTCAACAGTTTGCATGTTCTTAGACTCTGAAAAAATTCATTAGAATTTTTCTGGTTTGCAAATATTGCCAGACTTTTGTCTTTTCCTTAAAGCTTTTGACTACTGTTAAACATTTGGCCTTTAAATCCTGTTTCTGAAACCTGACTGAGCCCACATGTAGCCTTTCTATTATCTAAAGCCTGTGCCCCACATTTTGGCAAATCAATCATTGCTATTCCTGCTTGGGAGCTGTGGAACAGGCTGTCAACTGATATTAATCAATCTTTGTCGTTGCCCATTTCCAAAAGTCATTAACATGCTCAGCCTCACATTATAATCTCCAGCAGAAAAATAACACATTGTCAACTGTACTTTGTTACGAGTTACTACACAAGTGACCTTATTGATTGCATGTACGTACGAGAGGTTTGTATTTACTGAGAACCTTCAAGTTTCTGTGTTTGCCTTTATTGTATTTCCACTTTATCTTTTTATATATATATATTACCTTGTTTTCCATAACAGGCAATACAGCTGTTTCCAAGGAAATGAAGACAGCTGAGGAGCTGGTATGAATAAGTAAATGAAGATATCAAGTACAACTGACTGCTGGAACATTAGGAGATGATTAATGACCCTTTAACACGTTAAAAAAAGGTCTGCCAATATACAGCTATTTCTGTTGTCATGTAGTAACACTAAATTCCTGTAAATGTGGCCACAGTGGAGTTGGCATGTGTAAAAATCTTTCTTCTTAGCCATCAAGGCTTTACAAATGCATTTCTCTTGCTAGTTATTCCTCATGGCTCTTGGCAAAGGCTGACAGTATACACCTCCTTTCTCTTTCTTCTTTTCCCTTTTTTCTCAAAGAACAATTCAGTTTAGAAATGCCTTTGTACTTACTACTTGCCTGGCTTTGTTGTTGTGTGTCTTTAGGTGCCAAGGAAAGAAGTGATGTATCCTCTCTGGCTGATCCCTGCTGTTGGATGCTGTGGTCTCCAGAGCAACATGGTGGACATCACCCTATGGTGCAGTGAGGGGCTGATCCCCACAGGAGCTACAACCCATCTCAGCATCCCCAGCTCCTGCAAAGCCACAGGGCTCCCACACTCTCCACCAAGACATTAACAAGGAAAACCTCACAGGCTCCTGAGCACAAAACCAATCCTGTTCTGATGATAGGTCTGGGACCTCTGAAGATGGAGCTGCAGGATGCTTTGCAAGGACTGTGTATTTCTTCACTACCAGGTGAGCATGGAAACTTGAACAGTGTTGAAATTTAGAGCATTGCTCTAGCAAGGGCTCTCAGGGGTCAGCAAAACCCATCCCCTGCTGCTATAGGAAAGCACACCATAAAACCCTTTATAAATGGAACAGTCTTTACATTATAGCTATTTGCAAAGCTGAATCAAACGTGGGTCCAGACCAGGATGTTTATAACATCGTTTCCAGATTAAATTCACTCTGGGCAATAATAATGATTTTTGGCCTTTGTACTGGCTTGTCAGTGTTTTCTCACAGTCCCCACTGTTGGCCAAGATCACACACGCACTTGGAAATAATGCAAGCCCTTGGTATACGCAATGGAGCACAGGTTAGCTTTCCAGTGATTTATTTTTGATAAACTTCATTGAGTAAAAAACTTCTACTGCTCCTAATAAGTAGGTATCCTCACTCCCTTCCATTTCTAGATTGCCTTAAGGTGTAACCTCAGGAAAAATACATTATGGACTCAAGTCCTGAGCTCATGAATACTACTCTTACGGCAGTAAGTTCAAGATATGAAACAAACTCTTAAGAGTTTGGCTGGATAGTACAGCAGGTAATGGGAAGCATTTCAGGGCATTGCTGTAGAAAAACCCTTTCTAGCAGCTGAGAATCCACAAAGCCCCATAGTACAGGTTGTGACATTAGACACCTTCAACTGGAAAAGAAAATACAATATTAGTCAGGGCTTCAACAGCCCTTCAATATGTCATTGGTTTTATTTGGACTGAATCTCAAGTAGGTCACTCTGCTGTATTCTCGTTCAATGCTATATTTTGCTTTAACTGGTTTATCCGAAGAATCAATCTCTATAATATAGTAAGAGTTTTGGTAACTCTGGAAGGAATTTCTGCTTCTGACTGGTAGAGAAAGAAGAATGCAAAAGTTTTAAATCAGTTCACATCAGGACACTTTAAACTCTGCCCAGTAAAAGCTTTGCAGCATAACTTGTCTTTCCTGGGAAATTTTACTATGAATACTTAGTAGGAGATGTCAACACTGAAGTATCAAGGCTGCTGGTCAAAAAAAATCTTGTGTCACCTTCTCTTATCTAGTTTTTATTTAGGAAGATGCATGCAGGAGTTTCTGGCATGCCAGATCCAGCCTGAGCTGGTGACAATAGTAGGTAATTGCCAGCAAACCACTTAGTGCATTTTAATAATGTCTGAAGAGCTTCCCAAATCCTCAGGCATGTCTCTCACTAACATAAACATTTTCAATATTTAATTTAGATGATGCCAAGGAAGACTGCTGTCCTCTCTTGCCAACTGAAAGATTGTGAACAGGTCTCACGAGCACTAGGGCGAACAGCAGTAATGACCTGCCTTGATGGCAAGGGAGGACAGCCCTTGTGATCATCCACTATCACAGTGAGAGTGGAGCAAAGAGCTGGGTTTTGAATCCACTTTAGAGGGTTATTTTTCACCCTGCAGCTTTGTATTGCAGCAAATGAGCTTCAGCCTGTTTCAGCCAGTGTAAGCTGGTGTGGCTTCAGTGGTTACATATTTCATAGGCCATTGATTGAAGTGCTCTTACAGTCCTTTCCCCTTCTGAATGAATGTTTATCCCCTGAAGGCTTCTTCAAAGGACCCAGGAACAAAGGTTTCAACTTAAGAAAACATTTGTGCAGGTCCACAGAAACAGGTTTGCTCTGCACGCCAGATAAGCACGTACTTAAGCACATTAGAGATTACAGCATGAAAACATGCAGTGTTCTGTACATACCTGAGTGTGCAGCTGGATAGGAACAGGCTGTTCTAAAATTAATTATAAAATGATGCAGGATGTCCATGTCTGTATCTTGGCACCTATCTTATTTTCCTTCCTTTTTTTTCCCTCTTCTGCTTATGCAAGTAATCCATTAAATAGCAATACCCAAGAAAGAATCAGTATTGTGTCAGAAAAGCACCTTCTCCCTTGTGCCATTAATTTTCTTTTCTTTCTCATCTGTGAGCATCATTTAGCATTTCTTCCTCTCCCAGTGAGCTCCTAACGCCTTTCTGCTTGAGTGCTATGGTTACTGCATTGCTTCTACTGATTTTAGAAAATAAGTGTGGTTTGTTTTTTAATGCCCACTTCTGTCAGGTATTAAGTGCTGTCCAAGGCAAGTCTGATAAATAGTGAAATAAAATCAGACCTGATCTATGTTCCTTCTGCAGAATAAAGAGGTAATATTTGCAGCAATTTGAATTGTGGTGTAAAAGCGCAGGGTGAGATTCCGCAGTGCAGACTGTGTGCTTGTGTAGGCTCCTGTTCCTTTGCGTTTCTAGGCTGTCCCACCTATTCTAGTTCTGTTTCGGGAGCTTGGGAGGGCAGGCAGTGGGTTGTGTGAGGTACACAGCAGCTGTATCTGGACGACCAAGGGCCAAGATTGCATTGGTCAGCATCCTTCAGTGGGTGAAGCAGTGGATGACTTCAGGGATGGGAGGGATAGGTTGTCTTCTCAAAATGATAGCAGTATTACTGAGATCTTTATCCCCAGCAGAAATGCTGTGCTGCTCATCAGGCCTTGTAGATATCTATCTTAATACATCAGGCCTCATAAATGCGTATCTTGAAAACTTACTCACTATAATCTATTGGAGACTGTGTGGAGGGAAAGCATCTAGCTCCAGACATGCTGTTGCTCACAATTTCTAAGCTGGTTGTAGTTATTTCTAGGTAAAACATTAATCGTGATGAATTGTTTTTTTAATGCTTGGGATATGTGAATCTAAAGAGCTAAATTTTAACATATTATTAAGGAAATGCTGATTCCTGCCATTAACCAGTGTTTTAAAAAGATTTAACACAGACTGTATGAGGCAAAGTGCTTTCATAATAGTGCAGTTTTCTATTTGTTATATTTTCCAGTGTTCCTCCACCTTGAGTTGTGGTTATATTGTTATATCCCTTTCGATTTCATTACCTTTACCAATCGTTTTAATTCCCCTGTCCAGAGTGGATGGGTGGCAAAGGCTGTGCAAGACACCCATGCTTTGAAATGACAAGAACTGGAAACGACGTGACCTCTTTGGATAAAATACCATAGGCATTGCTTTACAAACCACTGGGGAAAAGTGGTTTTGGAGATTGTCCTTCCCTCCAATGGAAAAAAAAGGGGAAAATCACCTTAACAGCAAAGGCCCCTTATGTGTTGCAGCACAAGAGGGCAGTGTTACGTTGGATTGAGTCGCACAAGGGTGCGATTAGCATGGGAACACTTGGTGGCTGATTAATTTAGCCTATTTGCGAAGAGGCGTCCGCTCGGGAAGAGACAGAGTCCAGCTCCTACCTGGTGGAAGAGGTAGCCAAGCTCATAAACCACCTTCTTCATCTGGTTCAGTGTCAGCTGCTGTGGACACTGCTGGGCAGGGCATGTTGGGGCACAGGTCTTGCTCTGGGGTCCCAACAGCCACCCTGACCCTCACGGTGTGACTTACAGTGTCTGTTTCTGCCCACTGAGATTTCCAATCCTACCTTCGGCACAGGGTTGCATTGGTGGCACTTACCTGGAAGCTCAGGAGATCAGCTGTTTCATTATCTCCATCTGGGTTTAAAAGGGCAGGAATGTCAATCCTTTATCAAATCCCTCCTGGGATTTGATCCCCATACCTGGCATGGCCGGGGATGAGATACCACAGCTCCCGCTGTCTCTTGATGGAGCTGCTGGTGCATTTGTGCCATGTAACATCACCCAGCATCCACAGGAACAAACCGAGCTGTTCCAACACAGGGGCTTAGCAACCATGTAGTATGTCAGTAAAAGCCAAGTCCATTGTCAGTCAGTGCCTTTTATGGGGCAATAAAAGAAAAGAAGTTAAAAAATATGTATATATTATGTATGGAAAGAGCTGTGAGTGTATCACACTAAAGGTGTCCTTCCAGAGACAGGAGTGATGGGGAGAGGAACCTCTCCCCAACACAAGCAGGTTACCAGTAACCAGATCACATCCCCAGCCGGATACCAGTAACCTGATCTTTCACAGTGTGGTCCTCTTTTACCGGCAGTTCTGTGGCCTCTGGAGCTCCTTTGTCAGCCTCTGGCTTTTCATGAATGATCTGAGAGTATGGGTTATCTCTTCAAGGAGCGTGGTGTTAAAAGCAAACATTTTATGTGTAGCTGTGGTGGCTAATCTTGAAACATGCACACCCAAAGTTAAGGGTTGAGCTCACACAAACACAATTTGTTTGTGTCTGGAGGCTGGCTGCTTTGTGCTCTCTAGTTTTCTGGGGGTTGTGTCATGCCTGGGAATGGATTTAAGCCACTGACATAATCACAGTGCTCTGACTCTGAAATAGAGGCCACTAAACGACTCATCGGTGCTTCACAGTGTCTCAGCCAAGCCTGCCAGACTCAGCTGGTACAAAGTCCTAGGAGATCCCACTGCAGGCTCAAAGCCTCAGGCACCATCTTTTGATGTACACAAAAGACCTTGTTTTTATAGGAATTAATTAGCAGTTTAAATACTTGCATGGTAGGAAATCCCCCACAGGGTATACTCGTTAAGGTTTCTTTACACATTACCTCCCAGGAGGACATAGACTTTCCCTTACTTCCCAGCATCTCTCCCTGCTTCAGCAATAACTCCAGTAATTGTATTACAGCCAGAGAGTACTGCAACTGCAACCATAAAATCTTTGCAGTGCTCATCCATTCCCCTGTGTTAGATAGGATTGTGATGGGCAATAATTCATCAGAGTCTGAGGTTATAGTGTCACATATTCATGCCCTAGGTGCCTTTAAGCAATGACAAGGTGATAATGTCAGTGTAACCACACATCCTGTTTGCATTACTTATTGCTCTCATGAATGACAAATTTGTATTTTAGAATGGCTGAGACATTTATCTGCTGTCCCAAAAAGCCAAATTATGAATGTGGCATAATCTTATCTCTAGGGCAGACATTCCTTTTATTATTGGTATTTAATAAAATAATGTGTAATTAAAGGAAAGTAATTAACCTATTTCTAGGAACTTTGTATCTTGAATAAACAGGCAGCTAATGCAGCTTCAAGTGTGTTGCCAGAAGTCCTGTCTGCCAAAGCATCTTCTGAGGCAGGTGGTCTGCATTATAATGTGGAAGAAGAGTGCATATGAATGACTGCAAAATGGTACTGCAGCATTGCATGCTCTTTAGGGGTTTTAATTTTGGAGACATTTTGTAAAGGGGTATTTTCTCTTCCTATGGGGTGAGCAGATAGTTGGGGCAGGGGCTGAGGTGAGATGAATCACAGTGAACCCAGGTATGGCTTTACAATAGATATAGCAGTCCTGGCAGATCTGGGAGGCCCTCACAAGTGGGGTGACTGAATGGGACAGGAACTCAGTTTTCCTTATCTAGTGACACTCACCAAAAACTCAAGGTGGCCAGCTAGTAGAAGCAGTAAAAGTGTTAAGTAATGCTGAGTTACCCCATCATCAACAACCAGTGCTTGCGACGTGGGCTGGCTCTCCACTGACACATGTGCTCTGCATGGCGTGTGCCTTTCCCGGGCCACACTTGCTGCAGTGTGGGATGCTTTGCTGGAAGCTGCTCTGTCACGCATAGCAGGAGAGGGCAGTCACATAAAATCCATTGAGTCCTTTGCCACTGTTCCATATTCCCTCCTTTTTGAAAAATGAGACTGGTTCCTACCATTTAAGAAAAAAAACCATCCCTTCCTGGTGGAGCATTTTTTTTCAATAGCAGAACATACTGTGGAGGCTAGGAGTGTGTCTAGAAAGATGATAGGCATTAAATAGCAGCAAAAGAAATTGCTAGTAGATATATGGGAAAACTTCTTCACGAGGGATGTGGTCAAAGGCTAGAACAAGAGACTGTGGGATCCTGGAGATATTCAGATACTCTGCATGAAGTCCTGAGCAACCTGATCCACATTTGAAGTGAGCTCTGCTTGGAGCAGGGGCTGGATCAGAGACCTCCTGCGATGCCTGCTGATCCAAACTACTCTGAATTTGGAAGCTGATCAGCTCCCCCACCACTTAAATCACAGAAAGTGCTTGTCTGGCCCCCTGGGATGGGGCTGTGCCTATAGGAAGCCAAGTATGGGGAGCACTGGCTGGAAGGCGTATGGCAGCTTTGCTGTACCTGCCCTGATACAGGTGTGTGCTGTGCTTCTGGTACTGCCAAGCAAAGCAGCCTTTGGTGCAGTTTATCACAGGGATTCAAGGAAATGGTATTCAAGAGGGTGTGCAAATGATGAGGATGCTGGGAAGCTGTTCTGACATCTGATGTGCTGCTGCTCTTCTGCTCTAAAAATGTTCTGAATCTGCTTATCCTTTACAAAGTGACACCAGTATGAATGTGTCTGATTTTGTAAAGTGTGCTTTTTCTGTAGGCATTCAAGCTGCTTTGGGCTGCGTGGCTGTGAGAGATGAGTCTCAGCTCCTGCTTTGCTGTCATCCTCAGCATTCATAACCATCGCCTGAGAGTCTCTGAGCAGTGGGAAGCAAGCCCTGGTGCAACTCCAGGTGATTGCCTTCCTCTCCCAGAGCCGCAGCACACGCTGCATGAATGTCACCATGCAGTGATCATCATCACTCCACTGGATAGCCAGACAAGGAAAGGAAGGCTGTGCTTATCATCTCAATGAGATGTTGACTCATCTGACATTCACAGTCCTGCCATGAGGTTAATTACTTTTCTTTAAATAAACATGGCAGTGAAATCTTCCATTCTTTTCTTTGGTATAATGATAGAAAGCTCAAGGAAATTAAAACAGGTATGAATTTACACTTCACAATTGCACCACTATGCCTGCAAAATATTGGCCCTAGTGCAAATGCAGGTAAATTGGAGTTGCTGATGAAGTGGCCATATGGACAGCAGAAAGCTTATTTGCATGGAGGAACAGCTAGACCATCAAACCATTCCTCTCATAACCAAAGCCTAACCAGTTCTGCAGGCTGGAGAGGTGGCCATGGTGGGATGAAGGTGCCATGAAGTTCAGACAAATGGCTGTAATCACCCAGAGGTTTTGGTGTTTTATGGGTGTGCAACCTAAGCTGGGTGTGCGTGGGGTGCCAGCACCTTCCTTGGACCCAAGCCACTGTGAGCTGAGGGTGCTACACGGGGTGTCAGCTGGCTGGGGATTTGCTGTTGCATAATGGGATGCAGCATGAATACAAGTCCTGATACTATCTCTGGAGATAGCGTCAGAACTATGTGACACCTTATCAGTTCGTAACACATTCCCTTTCAAAATGCTCCACTTGAACCAGGAGCTTTGGGTGTCAAGTGGTGCTGTGCAGCGTGTGCAGTGCAGTCAGGGTACCTATCATGTGTATCAGACATCAAATGCCTTGCTATCCAGTCCAGTGTGAGGTGGTCCCCTGTAGTCCTGTGCTTTTGGCTATCTGTCCTGACTTTTCCTACATGAAGGAATCACTGCAGCTTTTGTATGGCTCCTCCAGCTCTGACTCTCACAAACACTCTCTATCCATCACCTTGTACTTGTCCATGACACAGCTCTATTCCAAGGTCTCAGAGCAAGAAACCAGCCCAGCAGAGCTGCAGGAACAGCCTGCTGCCTTGTGAAGGAATAAGAAAAGAAGAGGAAATAGTTTTCTGCAGTGAGCTCATGTTCTGTGAATGGACCATGGTGTTTTGTTGCTAACACATGCAGACAGGGCTGGGGGGGGGGGGGGCACTGGGGATCCCCTGCAAACCCAAACAACAAAGCAGGAATGGTTTACAGTGGAGTGACAACAGCAATTGCACCTCATTGTGAGGCTTGGAGATCAGACACCAACCAGCCAGCTGTTAACACTGAGAGGTTTTAAACAGTCACAATGCTTTGAAGTCTTTTTCTGAGCTCTGAGTGTATTTTCTTAAAGGCTAAAATATACTTGGAGCGCTGTGTTGTCATTGCAGTGTCCAGCCCTGCTGTAGGATGTGCCAGTGCCCCAGAATAGAAGGTATATATATTTGTTGAGGTTTAGTTTCTGAATGAGCGAAACATCAAGCAATTGCCATACAGCTTTTCTCTGAGTGATGCTCTTGTCCTTCTAGGTTTGGGTGACTCTGTGACACAGTCTGTATTGGCTGAAGATTAAAGGGGGGTCTGGCTGTAGTTTCCTTCAACCCTGTCCTGGCAAAACAAAGCAAAGACAAATCAGACATCCAGTCCTGTGCGTTAGGTAGCTGTGGAAGCAAGCAGATTGAGGGATGAAGGCTTCCCTCATGGATGGGGCCAGGCTAAGTCCATCCTCCCAGGTTGCAGTGCATGGGGGAAGGAGAGCAGAAGGGGAACTGCAGCTGTGTCTTGCTGGGTGTCAGAGGGATCCTGGTGGAAAGGTTGGCAAAGCACCCTGAGGATCTCCTGCAAAGGATCATAGACTTTGGAAGGCTTTTAAGACATGTCTGATTAAAGCACATTGTGAAAGTGGTGCTGATTCTTGTGACAAGTGTGTGCTAGAGTCCAAAAATGCTCAGCTGAGGTTCCTGTGAATCTCCAGCCATAATCTCCTCCCTATTTTGTGATGGGACTTGGTCTAAGCCATGTCCCTCATGGCCTCAAAAGCTGTT